CATATTTTATTTGAGATCAGTCTGAGAGTAAGATACTATCATGCTGTAGAAAACAAGACACGTGGAGTTAATAGTACTTTGGAGTATAGATATATGCCGTACTGCATTTAGGAAAGTTGGGAAGTTAATGATGAGGGGATGAAAAGAAACTACGGTTGATTCAAAGTATGAAGTTGAGCCAAATCACTGAAGGATTATTCCTAATACAGATCATGGGTATTTCTCCAACTTGTCTTGTTGAAATCAGTGTGATCGTGGAATTGTGCAACTAGTTGTTCAATTTGAATCACCAAGTCTTCCCTTAGATTGGGGCCTAGGAGGAGTCCTCAGGAGACAAAACACAAGATGGATTAAAGTTTATTGTGTTGGTTTTCCTCTGTTGGGATAATACTTGAAGCAATTTAAGATTCTTGAACCATTTTCATGTCAAAATTATGGGCAAAACCCTAAGAATCACTTTGGTTAAAGACTTGACATAGAGGCTATCATTTAGCCCACAAATAAATCCTTTAACATGGTAGTTACTATGATTCTCATCTTACTGATGCTAAATGAAGATTTAGAGAAGTTAGGTGGTGTGTATAGGGTTTTTAAACAGTGTATTAGTATAACTAGCTTCATATATCTCAGTCTTGTTTTAAAGTGAGCCATGAACAATTGACTAGAAATAAAGTTTCTAAGAATTAGTTAAGTAGTCAAATTAATACTTACCATTTGTCAGAAGGAGGTAGGAGAGAATAATAAGATAGTTATTGGGTGATTTTGATTAGATGGCAGTTTTGGTACAGAAAAATAAAAGGATGTAAGACCAACTAGAAATTCAAGGGAGAAATTCTTATCTAAGCCAGAGGAATGGAACAGGCAAGGCAAAATAGGCAGCTGGGATTTTTGCTTCATTTCCAGGTAACTGGCTGGAGAATACAAAGAGATCATACTCATAAAATGTTACATGTCAGCTGTGATCTCATCCAATATCTTCACTGTTAAAGATGTCCTGCTAATGTAAATGTAAATGAGACTGAAGAATTGGTTTCACAAATCGAGTTCCAGATGAATTAACCCGTCTTCCGTTCTACAGTGCTTTGTGTTCAAGCCCAAGGGTCCATTAACTGAGCACATAAATAGAGTTTCACACCCTCAAAGTCTGCTCTGCGTGCTGAGCACAGATGCTCCCAGCGTTTTTCCTCTGTGCCCACGTGGAAAATCCTCCTGGCATTTAAGATCATCATCTCCCTCAAGCCTTGCTGTCAAAAAAGAACAACCCTAAGTGAAATATTGCAGATCAGTGAGTTGGTAAACCAGCTAGAGACACAGTGTGTTACAGCCCATCAGACCTATGAAAATGTCCCACTTTGAAGATGTAAGAATGAGAGAGACACTTGGAAATTAGGACCAAGAGAAGTGTTTGATATGTGGTCAAGTGTAGATGAGCTTCCTAGGCAAGATTTTTTCACTTTTGGTTCATAGTTCTTAAACTGAGTTGCAGTAGAGTTTATAAATTACAGTAAGTGTAATAAAATGAAAAAATTTTAGTACTGATGTGTCTGGCATTGAAGTAAATATGACATACATGGTATCACTTAGTTCCTTTCAATCCCACAAACATGTTGATGTTACTGTTAACACATTTTACAGGTAAGGAAAGAGGCTCAGAGAGGTGAAATTCCCTATCCAAGATTAAAGAACAAGTGTTAGAACCAGATTCAAATGTATATCCATTATGACTCCAATGCCTTTGTTCTTCAAACAGTAGACTACACTGCTGGAAAACAAAAGCCATAAACTCATAAAAAGTAAATGCTTTTAAAGACACCAGCAATTCTAAGTACCTAACATGCTCTGTGTGGTTTAAGAAAAATATTAATAGTAGCAAGGATTTTTTAAAATTTTTTTATTTTATTTTTTTATTTGACAGGCAGAGTTAGACAGTGAGAGAGAGACAGAGAGAAAGATCTTCCTTCCGTTGGTTCACCCCCCAAGTGGCTGCTATAGCCAGAACTACCCTGATCTGAAGCCAGGAGCCAGGTGCCTCCTCCCAGTCTCCCACACAGATGCAGGGGCCCAAGCACGTGTGCCATCCTCCACTGCCTTCCCTGGCCACAGCAGAGAGCTGGACTGGAAGAGGAGCAACTGGGACTAGAACCCGGTGCCCATATGGGATGCCAACGCCACAGGCAGAGGATTAACCAAGTGAGCCTTGGCACTGACCCCAGTAGCAAGAATTTTTAACGTGTCCCTGAGACCAGGTTAGGATATGGTTCATTCATGACTCAATTCGTGGGAAAGTCAGATGAACTTGTTGCTGTTAAGATCGAATTCCGAGAGGCACGATCCAATTCTGATTGTTTAATAGAACTAAATTTATCTAGAGTAAAAGCATTAATCAGGAAAATGAATTGGGAAATGCTCTGTACAAGAAATGAAAGCTGCTACTTGAAGGAGAAAAACCAAGGGATTGTATATAATTGCTGTTGATTTTTCAAATAAACCACCAGGCTAAAAGGACACAGCGAACAGATTCAATGGGAAAAATCATCTTAGATTTTGGGAGTCACTAAACAGTAGTGGGGTATAGATAAGTGATGTAGTTAAGATTGCTTGCACTACTAATACAGTGAAAAGATTCACAATATTTAGTAGCAGGACTTTTTTTTTTTTTTAATAAATGAACTACAATTGACCTTTGAAAAAGCTGATGACAGGAAAGCAGGTATAAACTGATGGTTGCTCTTATCAAGTTTAAATATTTGAAAAGGTATAATTCATGCAAATGTTTAGCCTTTTTTTCATGATGCAAGGGTAAAACCTGCCTAGGCTGGTATTTACCTTTCTAATTAGAAAAGCTTGAGTGATGTGAACAATTAAGATAATACAATACCTTTACAAGATAATTAATCTTTTCTTTGTGATTCATCCTACCACATCCTAAGCTGATAATGTTATTTACCTCCCAGTTAAGGGTATGTTAGAAGGTAATTGGAGCCATTTGCTTTGACTATCAAAGGAGAAAAGATCATGCAATTTGCATCTCATATATCTAGAAATTAAAACTGAAGGACTGACCACTTGACACCACAGAAGTTCCTGAAATGAAGCCTGCTGAGCTCAATTTGTTGTGGCGGCTAAATGATTCCTCTTTCCAATTTGAATGCATGATGAAATCCCTATTAGAACATTGCACTGTAATAATTGACAACATAATGAAACTGCCAAAGACGAAATGCAAATACTTCTCTACTGACCCTTCAGAACTGACTCTAAACTCTATCTGCCTCTGCTAGAAAAAAAAAAATCCCTGTTTTTTCTACATTCTATCTACCTATCAGGGACTGCTGAGACATTCTTTGAGAGACCTGTACTTTGAGACTGAAACAGCAACAGTAGGTTGTAGATTTTCTGGTAGCCAAATAAATATACAAATTGAATTAGGAGGAATTGCTTTCATATATTGCTAAGTTGTATTACCATTTTATGGAAGAGATGTATTTTCAGCATTGAAAAAATTTGGGAAAATATCGTTAGAGTCCTGTAGCTTCATTTAAAAATTATGATGTTTTTAGTTTTTTGGAATTTTCATCTAATCCATGAAAACTTGATGGGTTATCGGTAAAGGTCTTGGAAAGTTAGTAATCTGAATGTACTGTTTGTAATTTTTTGTTATTTGGTTTCTAGCCCTTTTTTTTTTTAAAGATTTATTTTATTTATTTGAAAGACTACTGGGCATTGCCTAAAATAGTTCCTGACAACATGGCGCCTGGCGGATGTTCGAGGGGTGTGTTTGAGGCCGCTGCATTTAAGCCATGCAAGATCGGACCACCTGCAGGGATAGGTCCAATTTAGTTCCGGACATATGGACAGTGCATGATCCCTATACTTTGCTTAAGATGCCCCTGTGCGTAGTCCACCCACACCTGCATGACCTTTTTACTGATTGGCATGTCTTTTGTAAGTCTTAAAAACCTGTAGACTTCCTCAATAAAGTAGTTTCTGCTTCGAAAGAACTCACGGGTGCTTGCTGTGTTCTTGACCCGTTGACCTTACCTTTCCCGTTCGCCTTGTCGGGGAGTACTTATACTGTCCCCTGCTGGTCAGGGGCCAGCCTCAGGCTTAAGACCCCAACAAGTGGCACCCAAGGTGAGGCTCGACGGACATGAATGACTGACTCTGGCCCGAGAGAAGGACTGACTCTGGCTGAAGTGAAAGTACTGGTGGACACGGCTAAGTGAGGCTCTCAAGGTAGGGTACCACCTTACCTGGTAAGGTAAGGTATCCCTGAAAGGATGGGGCAATCACATGCTAAGTCTGATGACCCAGCACCTAAGGCACTGAGATACATACTAAAGACTCACGACTTAGAAATGTCTGATTCTCAAGCCGCTGAGGTTTGGGAAGCCCTTACTGAAGCGGCACCATGGCTCGCTGCTGCCAATCTTTTTGACTGGTCCACATGGGACTGGGTGGAACAGCTGGTTCAAAAACAAGAGATCTGTCTCGGGACTATTCCTCCATTGGGGACCTACCCTACCCTATCTACCCTTAAGGCTTGCTTTCCACCGACCCCAACTGAAGGAAAGTTGCACAAAAATTCTTGCACACCTAAGCCAGTTGATATGAAACAGATGAGCTGGGCGGCCTTTGATGAGGAATGTCAGAAGGCTCATAAATCCCCAGAGGCAGTTGAAACTAAGGTAGAGCCTTCAGGTGTGGCGGTAACCCCTAAAGGCCCAGTGCTACCTCAACCCACGTGCCTCCAATTACAGAGGGGACGTCCGGTCTTGTGCCACCCATGTGGCCACCCCCTTATGGGCATTCCCCTCCCTTGGATCACCCGCTGCCAGATCTGAATGCCTTAAGGGCTGATTCTGAGGCCAGAGTGCTGTTTAGGACATCTGCCATTCTTTGAGTCTGCTGTGTATCCTGCTTCCCATGGTGGGTAATTCTCTCCATTTTAATTCTATCAGTTAGTATTAGCAGCAGGTCAGGCTTTTTTTTTTTTTTTTTTTTTCCAAGGACATAGATTTATTTGAAAGAATGACAGAGATGTTCTGCCCACTGGTTCATTCAGAATCAGGCAGGGCTGGGCCAGGTGAATGCCAGGAGCCAGAACTTCATCTGAGTCTCTTGCATTGATGGCAGGAACACAGTACTTAGGGCGTCACTGACTACCTCTCATTTGGAAAGCAGCTGGATCAGAAGTGTGGAATAGCTAGGACTCGGGTCAGGCACTCAAATAAGGGATGCAGGCCAAAATTTATCTTAACCTGCACCATGATGGCTGCCCCTGAGATTTGCATGTTAAGGAGCTGGCCCTCTGAAGAAGGAAAGGTCAAGGCAAAATGCAAAAGCAAGTGTCAAAGCCCTGAGGTAGCAGTATGCTCGTGGTGTGTGAGGAACAGAAGGAAAACTGGTACAGTGAGGGACTAAGCCATCACTCTTGGAGCTTGGATGAAATAGTGGGCATGGAGGAAGTGATGGATGTGAACATCAGTGTGATGTAGTCTTACTTGTCCCACCTAGCTGGAGCAAAACGGTGCCTGTGGGATTTACTCGGGTTTTTATGCTTGAAGTCCATGTATAGAACCCAAGTTTCCTTTTCTCAGGGAGGAGCTGTGTGATGAGGCAGGCAGGATTACATGCTATTCATCTTCCAAGGGAAGCAACTGCGATGGTATAATAACAGGGTCCACCAATTTCCTGCAGGTTCATAACGGCTACAGCCCAGGATAAGTTTGAGAGGGGTCATTCCCACACCTCAATGCTGCTTTCCTTTCTAAGCAGGTACCCCTGCTTGCCCAAGGGGTCCTGGTTGATGGCAATCACATCTTTATTCTGAAGTAAACTTTTGGCTTGAGGGCTGATGTGTCTGAGGTCATTAGACATGATTAAAGGAGCTGCCATGATAGCCCAGAGAGCCATCTGAGTTACTTGTTGATTCCAGCTGAGGCCAAAGTTGCCAATCACTAACATATCTGGGTTATTCCAGCCCCCTGGTCCAGCAACATCAACAATTTTCTCCTGGTTAGAAGATGTCCAGGCCAAGATACTCTTTATACTTTCCCAGGAATCATAAATGTCAGCAGAATTTCTCCAGTGATTGCAGTATGTCCGAATTTTTGTGTAATTGGGCTTATGAAAGGGCCACATATAAAGAGGCCACTCACAGGAGTATACAATGCTTCTGCCAGTCCTGTTCAGAGCCAAGGACATGTACTGATAACCTTCAATCAAATGCTTCACACTGTCACAGTGACAACCATCAAATTTTAGCAGATCTACTCCCCAGTCAGCAAAGGTCTGGGCATCAATGTCATAGTGTCCGAAACTCCCAGGGTACCCTGCACAGGTTTTATTTCCAACATCTGCATAAATCCCTAGCTTTAGTCCTTTGCTGTGGACATAATCAGCAAGGCGGCGGATCCCCCCAGGAAAGCGCTGAGGGTCCGCCTGAAGCCTGCCTTTTGGATCTCTTTCGGGAGCCATCCAACAGTCGTCAATGCAGAGGCATTCATAACCGGCATCCTTCCAGCCATCTGAGACCATGAGCTCTGCCATCTGCATGAAGAGATGCTCACTGATGCAGGATTCCGGCTCTGCCTGGCAGTCAAGATTACATAGGAAGCGCTCCCAGTGTAGCCAGCCCATGGTAGGCGTCCTCGCCAAGCCATTGTCCAATGCCCTGGCCCCAGGGACGCCCCAGAAAAATAGGAAGAGGAAGCGAAGTGCAAGCAAGCAACCCCGCCACTGACTTCCGCCTCCCGACTTCATTGTCACGGTGATCGCACAGTGCAGCAGGTCAGGCTTTAACCCATTGCGCCACTGGGCCAGCCCCTCTAGCCCTCATCTTTAGATACTGACTGGATTGTCAATTGTCTGACGGATAATCTCATCAGCATTTTTTACCAGTGATCACTTTTTCGATATTGAAAAGAACACATTGTTATATTTAACCCCCAGACGCTGTTGGCCCTATTTGTTATTTTCTTGTAGAGTTTTCTCTTTTATTGTTGAAACAAAATTTTCAGAGCTCTGTTTAAATGTCCCTTCCTTTCTTGCTCTGCCCATTCGTCCTCAATAACGCTTTTTATTCCCATGGCTTTAACTAATCAAAAACCTTAATATCCATGCCACATCTCATTTCTTAGTGTCAGATCAATATCTTAAACCATTAGACATTTCCATTTTAATACCACAAAAGCACTTCAGACAAGTCCTCGATGAGCTCATCATTTCTTCCTATCATTTTGTGATCCCTCATGCTTTAAGTAGGGTCACTACTCCCTGTTGTTGAAGCAACTCGAGAAATATCATCTGGACTCAGTCACCAAGTGCTTACTTCTGTTTCATATGCCAGAACAATATTATCTCACATTTGGATTCCAGCTCCAAAGCTAGAAGCATCCTCACCATCATTTTACCAAAACCAGAACATGTTTTTAAACCATACATCTGATTGTCACTTACTGCTGATGTTCCAGTGGCTCTCCTAATACTATGTGGAGAAGATCACAACTTTATGACCAAGGTGATTAAACCCTCTACTACCCAGGAACTACTCCTTGCTTGTTGGTCCAACTGATTATATAATTTTCCTTGTGTCTCTTACCCCTCCATCCTTCCATTCAACATCAGAGAAAAAAATCCTTCTTGATTCATAGGTATATGAATCATGTTTATAGTCATTGAAAATTATTTTACTTCTGCTTGCCTAAATATTTTTTAATATCAAGAATATGCATTATACATGATCATAATGAAGCTTTGAAATATATTCAAAAAGGCATGGACTTGGGAATTACAAACCTAGATTCTGATCCTGACTGTAAATGGCATCACTTCTGATCTCAATCACATTAGTAACCTACTTCAAAAATCAATTTGCCTGTACTTGAAATGGGGCTAACACTATTTTCCTGGAGTTGTTTGTATAACATGAGATAATGTTAGGTAAGTATTAATATAATCTGTCCCATAGTATAACTGTAGCTTGTCTCCTGACAAACTAAAGTAAGCCTTTTCTATTAACACTTATTTTGGTTCATCTGGCTCCCAATAGACAACATGAATCAGTTCCTGTTTGACTGTTTTCTACACTAGAATGTACTCTTCCCTCCCTCCTAATGTGCTGGATGAAATTGTACCTATCCTTTAGGATAGTTAAGGGTCAGCTTTCTCCATGAAGCCTCTTTAGGCATCTATTATTACTTTGAGCTTTGTCTTTCTTACAGTTACTCTGGAACAGTTTTTGAAGGGCTTGATGTGCATTAAGAATAAGTTCTTTCAGGTTCTCTGCATTATTTGTACATGGTCATGGTCAAGTACAGGTTTGACCTAAAATTCAGAATACTCTGTACAGTTCATTATACTTTTCCTGCTTCCCCCACCTTTAGAAACTATTTTACATTATTACTTCCAGATGTTGATTTCAACATTACTTGTTGATAATATTTTTAAATCAAACAACATGAATTTTTAAAATATTTATTTGAAAGGCAGATTTTCAGAGAAGGGACAGGGGATCAACCTTCCATCTACTGAGCACACATTTTTTCCACTGCTTCACTCCCCAGATGACCACAATGGCCAGGGGTGAGGCAGGCACTATCCAGGAGCCAGGAGCTTTCTCTGGGTGCAGGGCCCCAAGTAGTTGGGCCATCTTTTTCTGATTTCCAAGGCACATTAGTAGGGAGTTGGAATGGAAGGGGAACAGCTGGGACATGAACTGGCACCCATATGGAATGCTGACACTGCAGGCAGAGGCTTAACCTTGTATGCCACAGTGCTGGCCCCACATGTTGATAATATTATAGTGTCTGCATTTTTGTTTTTAGAGAGCTTAAAAAATAAGAGGCAGTGCTATTTGATTTCATTTTTTCTTGTTTTTTTTTTTTTATTTACAATATTTTTAAATAGGGTGTACAGATTTTATGTATTACATATATACAGATTTAGCAACGTAGTGATAAATCCCATCCTCCCTCCCTTCCACCTCTGCTCCCTCCCTCCCTCCCTCTTCCTTCCTTATTCTGTTAACTTTTACAATGGTGTACTTTTACTTTAGTTTGTAATCTTAAAATTAACCTTCCACTGAGTATTCAGTAAGCAATTAGAAGGGAAAAAAGAAAACCTGTGTTAATAAACAGTAGAGACAAGGATTATAAACAGTTTACAAACTATTGTAATACAAACAGTCTAATTTTGCTCATATACACTATTTTATCCTGTTCTTAAAATTGAAAATGCAGCTTCTTCAGTTTAACCAAAATTGAAAATTGGACACTCATGCTACCCTCCTTGAATGTTGTCCAGGCTTGTGATTGCCTTTAAATGTTTAAACATTTTACCTCTGCCTGGATCAATTTTACATAGATGTCACTGTTGGGCAGGAAAGATTGTTTTCATTGCCTTAAAACAGTAACAAATGAAAGTCAAGTGCACAATATCAATATATTAAACATGGTAAATATTCAGAATCTTGGCTGTGCACCCCTTTTTGATTCGCTCATCAAGTAAAAATTAAAGGAATGTCTATCAAGATGATGGAATGGAAAGGAAAATTTTTCGTACAGTATTTTTCATCAAATTCAACCTTTAAACAGTAAGTCATATCTCCACAGTAGAATCTAGATTTCCTATTCCATGCTTTTACACAAGCCTCACATTACAAATTCTTCTCTAAATTTCCTTTTTTAACCATTAAATTTTTCTGTGCAGAAAATTGGCTACCAAGAAGGATTTTTCTTTATATCAAAATCAGAAATCTAATCAAGGAGCATCTTAGAAAATCATGTAATTGCTCACTTGAATACAGACATTTCTCTTTTACTTTTTTACTAAGATTGTGGACTCAACCAAGTTTAAAAAATACTTTTTTTAAAACATACTGTGGACTAGAAGAATTTTTCATTTTCTATGTTCTACCTTTATGTGGATAGAATTGATGACTTTAAAAATGAAGGAAGGAGATGGGTCTCTCTGGTGTGATTTTTATATTATACAGTTCTGGATTTGTACTATATCCAAAATGAAAAGGAGTTGTATAAGGAGTTAGTTTCTATTAAATACCTGAGATCAGTGTATGGGGCAGGAAATAGATGCACTGTACTTTCTACCCACTAATGAGCAGAGCAATCTAAGTTTCTGTTTTATTCCTTTACATATTTACTGTCATATGCTTGTCAAAGAGAAGCATTGTCTACTAAACAGTTTGAAAAGACAGAAATAGGAAGAATTCCTTCAGTGGATTAAAACAACATGAGATATGTTATATGTGATTAAGCAAACTTTTGTATCTTTCCTGAAAGATACTTGAATTTTGAATTTTTCAGACTAAACTGCTTGAAGTCTGCACTCATAGTCCTGTAGAAATTTCTCCTGTTTTAATGATTACTGTGTCATTTCATCTTTAATTTCTGTGCTTTAATGAGGATGTAGAAGCATGCTATGGCATTTTCATTTTAACATCAGAGTGACTTAAGAATGGACCAGGAATGTAAAACAGAAAAAACCTTTATTGCAGTCTTAGCCTTTTATTTATTTCTATGGCCAGTGCGGAGCTGAGAGCTGTTTGATAGGGACATTCAGCTTCTCCTCCAAGCATCTCCTCTGTGGGCTTTGGACAGAATCAACCACAGGCACCTAAAAATGAACTTCTCTTTCTTGGCCACCTGCATAGTTTTAGCACTGACTCCATGCAATTTCACCCCTGGGTAGGAAGGGTGAAGTCAACACTTGGATTAATTGTATTGGATTACTGCTTCCAATTTGAAGATAGAGAATGAAGGAAATATATAGGCATTTCTACCTCCCTTAGGGTTGTTGGGCAGAATAATTATGGGGGAAAAATGTTTAGTTTGAGGTTTCTTTTAATTTTTTTCTTTCAACAAAGCAGATGAAATATTTGACTTGAAATACTTACCACCTGTGTTGTAATGATCTCATGGATGAATAGTTCAATGACTTAGTAGAAATGACTTACATTAGTAGAAATGACTTAAGTATGATCTTCAGGCCATTAACATTTCCTCTTTGTCACAGGGAAGGTTTACACAAACTTACATTGATAAGTATAAAGAAGAAGATCTAAGATAAAATCTAGAGGCTGTGATGCCCAAGACAATGCTGTTCTCCATTTGTGTTAAAATATCCTTGAGTATTCAAATGAAAAACAATAAATTTCAGCTTTGTTTAAATAATTTTCATGAAAATCCGAACTGTATGCAATAGAGATGATTTTATCCTATTAAAGAGTGAATTGTATTTAAACAATAATTGCACATAAAGGACATGTCAATCAATACATGAAAAGACATGAAGCTGCATACACTATTGATTTTCTACCATGTTCTTGCTTAGGTTAATGTTCTGAAAATGATTTACAATGTGGTTTTTATAAATCAAATTCTTTGAGATATGATAACATTTCATGGAAGCTATAGGCCTAATTCTAATGCGATTAAACAACTTAAATATTACAATGAAATAACCAAAATTTTTTAGAAAAATGGAAGTATCAGATATAGGAATTTTATAAATATTCTCTCCTATTTTAGAAATAATAGTTAATGTATTTGTCCAAAATGATATAGTATTTATATGATAAAATGAAAGATGATTTTGTTTTTATAGTAGACTATAAAACATACAGCAGGATAGATACAGACACATGACATAGACTTTCAAAGATGTAATAGCTCTGCACTAAGGAAAGGAAAAACAAAATAATACAGGAATAATTGGTCTACAAATCTGTGGAATTTGATGTTCTGACCCCATAAGCCAAT